CCGGTTCGGAAGAAAAGTCTATAGGACAACCTTTCACACATTGGAGAATATCAGAATCTCCTGTCAGATAAAATAATCTAGTTTTTCCCGCAGTAAAGTTCTCTGGAGTGTTAACGATGCTACTTACATCAACCAGATCATCCCGGTTTATTTGCCCCTCTGGTTCTTTGTATACTTGTTGGCACTCTCGTTTCTCCCCCTCTAAAAAGGAGCCGTACTTCTTGGGGAGGTCCCGGCAGTCCGTCGGGTACCCCTGTTGGACTGATAGTATGGCTGGTATCGTACAGGCTGAGGGGTAGGGAATCTCTGAGAAGTACCGGTACCTCGACCCGAACTTTAATATGACACACTGCTACACATTCTGTGTGATTATACCGCCTAAGTAATGGTCAGCCATTCTATTATTCTAGATACATCATATGTAGCTATGTAGGAGGGTGTTTTGTGGCACCGAGGTCACCAAACAAGTCTATATTTCATCTGATTACTCCAGATGCTACTAGTAGTATTTGACTGACATTATCTCCCTTGTATATGTCAGTGTATGCCGTCCATAACACATGTATATGTATAGTACTGTTAGGTCTAGATCGAGTTTAAGTAAATAATGAAGTATCGGACGAGTTCATTTGCACTACGGGGGTAAGGCAAGGCGGAATGTCTGTCACCCTTTTTATTTGCAATGTATATTAATGATTTGGAGAGTGAATTAGTTAACAAAGGTTTTGAGGGAGTGTCGATAAATCTAATTAAAGTTTTCCTTTTGTATGCAGATGAAATCACAATACTCTCAAATACTGCTTTTGGTTTGCAAAAAGGTTTAGATGTTTTGTATGATTACTGTGACAGATGGAAAATGAAAGTAAATGTGGGTAAAATTAAAATCATTGTGTTTCGTAGGGGAGGAAGGCTAAGTGAATCTTTATTATTTTTTGATGGTAACCAAGAGATGGAGGTAGTCAGCAAGCATTCGTACTTAGGTGTTGTATTCACAGCTGGAGGTACTTTTTCTGAAACTCAAAAGACATTACGGGAACATTATTTCAATTAGAAAAATGGACAAGAAAGTTTGCTGGATTGACTCCAAAGCATATGTGTATTTTTAGGTCACCTGAGCTTTAGCTCAAGTGACCTATTGCTATCCGTTTTCGTCCGTCGTCGTCCGTCGTCCGTCGTACGTCGTACGTCGTCCGTCGTCCGTCGTCCGTTAACATTTTACATTTCAAACTTAAAGTCAAGTTCTGCTGGGCCGATTGAACTGAAAGTTGATAGGAATGATCGCCTCATGGTCCTGACAAAGTGTTGTTATTTTTCGGGTCGATCAGAAATCCAATATGGCCGCCACGGCCACCATTTTGAAAACCTATTTCAAACTTAAAGTCAAGTTCTGCTGGACCGATTGAACTGAAAGTTGGTAGGAATGATCGCCTCATGGTCCTGACAAAGTGTTGTTATTTTTTGGGTCGATCAGAAATCCAATATGGCCACCACGGCCGCCATTTTGAAAACCTATTTCAAACTTAAAGTCAAGTTCTGCTGGACCGATTGAACTTAAAGTTTGTAGGAATGATCGACTCATGGTCCTGACAAAGTGTTGTTATTTTTCAGGTCAATCATAAATCCAATATGGCCGCCACGGCCACCATTTTGAAAACATATTTCAAACTTAAAGTCAAGTTCTGCTAGGCCGATTGAACTGAAACTTTGTAGGAATGATTGACTCATGGTCCTGACAAAGTGTTGTTATTTTTCAGGTCGATCAGAAATCCAATATGGCCACCACAGCTGCCATTTTGGTAAACTATTTCAAACTTAAAGTAAAGATCTACTTGGCCGATTGAACTGAAACTTTGTAGGAATGATCGAATCATGGTCCTGACAAAGTGTTGTTATTTTTCGGGTCAATCAGAAATACAATTTGGCTGCCATGGCCGCTATTTTGCTACTAAGTTCTAATAGGCCGATCTCACTTAAAATTGGTCTAGGAATGATCAGCTCATGGTCCTGACAAAGTTAAGTTAACATTATACTATTTTTTACTCAAATTGGTACATATTTCAACAACAAAAATAAATACTATAGACTCAGGTGACCGTTAAGGCCCATGGGCCTCTTGTATTTGATAAACTTGTCAGTCCCGTTTTATGTTATGGATGTGAGGTGTTGGGTTTCATACTGCTGTCGCTATTGAGAGATCACATCTGAAGTTTTGTAAAAGTTATTGGGAGTTAAATCTGGGGAACTCGGTAGAATGCCTTTAAGGTTCTTGAGATATAGTAGAATTATTAAGTACTGGCAACAAATTGTATGTGGAAATGCAAATAATTTAGTGCAATCTGTTTACAATGTTTTATATGATCAATGTGAGATGCACAATGTTAATAATTGGGCAAGCTTAGTAAAAACCGTGCTTTTTACACATAGCTTTTATGCCTGGAATATGCAGGCTGTTGGCAGTATAAATATGTTTATGTGTCTGTTTAAAACAAATGTGAGCGTTGTTTTTGTACAAAACTGGAATGCGGAGCTAGCTGAGTCGTCTCAAGCTAGGTTTTACATACAATTGGGTGACATTTTCGAAAATAAAGAGTATCTGGAAGTCGTAAATGTACATAAATTTAGAATAGCATTGACAAGGCTAAGAGTATCATCACACCGCCTCAGTGTAGAGGTAGGGCGATGGCATAGACCTATTGTAATACCGTATGAGATGAGAAAATGTATATTTTGTAATGTTTTAGAAGATGAGTATCATTTTATGCCATACCACAGCGTCCGTCAGCCGTCGTCTGTCCGTCGTCCGTCCGTCAACATTTCCGTTAAAACGCTACTAGTCCTGAACGGCCAAGTAGATTTTGACTAAATTTGGTCTGGAGCATACTAAGGCCAAGAGGACTCAATTTTGTATAAATGGTGGGTGTGGCCCCCCTGGGGGCAGAAGGGAGGGGCTCAATAGGGGAAACATAGCAAATTTTTCAAATACCTTCTCCTTTTGTACGAAAGACAGGATTTCGGGCCAAGGGGACTCAATTTTGTATAAGCAATGTGTGTGGTCTCCCAGGAGGCAGAAGGGTGGGACCCAATAGGAGAAATAGAGGTAAAACCCTAGGGGCATAGGGGAGTGGCTCTGCTTGAAGTTTGTTCTTGCTATATCTCAAGTACTGGATGGATCTTTCTGAAATTTTATATGTACTTACAGCACATACCATGGAGTGCTATATCTTTACTTCATACCAATTATTTTAAACATATTCAGGTGAGCAATACAGGCCCTCTGGACCTCTTGTTATTGAATGTAATCAGTTTTCTGAGGTAATTCGGGCACAGTCCATTCCAAGAAGATACTATACTAGGGAAATATTTGTGGATTTAATTACATCATCTAATATTGCAATTGTAAGAAATCTAGCAAGTTATGTTTTCAGGGCAAACGAGATCAGAAATAATATACTTTTTAATAATTAACTCTGGGCGACTGGGTATTTATTCTGTACCTGTTTCTGGTAACTTTATCCTAAAATTTATATTTTTGTTATGCACTGTGTAGCATTGGTTAATGGCAATGAGAGTTATCTCCCATTCATCACATATGTAACACAACAGTTTTTAGGTACAAACTTTTAACATTATACAAACAATATGTACTTTCTCGATTGCTATGAAACATGTGGTAATGGTTATCTGGTTGCCTAAATATGTTTAATCTCTTGACCTTAGTGTAGTTTTGAAAACAAATACCAGGTATTAGATTTGGGCTCCAACTTGGCACAAGGCAGGGATGAACCTCCCACCCTTTTACAAAAATAGCATCTTTCGGTCATGAATGTTTCGTGCTATATGAGGTCAACATCCTTTTATGTGTTCTACAATGATAGCGTTTTAAGTTTTTAACCTTTGTTGTGATCCGCCCTTTAGGTCCCTATTTCAGTAGTTATAACACTGCCTGGGACCATCACGTTAAGATCACAGGGGATGTCGTTACTAGTGGTCTGGTATGACTGTCCGATGGTATCCCCTTCAGTCCTAAAAACGGACTTGTGACCGAGTATTTACCAGGTAAAGTGTTTTTTGTTAAAAAAAAAATCCAAAGCGTATTATATAATCTAGGAAATGATCGAAACATTAACCAATCGAATCCACTGTTTTTTAGTCAATGGACTTTCCTGTAGAACCTGATTCAGGCACACACTTTTTTGTATTCTCTCCTCTTATCAAAGTGCAATCTTACTTCCCCTCGTGATTTAATTTTTCATTCGTTAAACTTTGAACAATCATTGCAGCAAAAAGCTGAAGTATTGTGAGATTTGATACATTTCTAACACCGCAATTCTTCTCGACCTTAAGCATATTTCAAAAGCAATAAAGTAAAGGAAAGATACAGTTTTCTTTTTTTTTCAACTGCATGTTGTTTTCAATTCCCTTAGAGTTACAATATATTTGTCGATCTTTTTATTGAATACAAATTAGGCCACTGTTAACAAATTCACATTATTTAGGTAATTTTTTGGGGAACATCAACAAGTCACTTGACCAGTTCCGGAGTACATCAATGAAGTAACGTCATCAAATGATAAAAATGCGAGCTAATTTAAAATGTCATTATCCAGATTTTTGTCACAACTAGCGTTCTACACTTCTAGCACTGCCAAACCACATACTCATTTACAGCCGAGTAGACTGGAACACGGGTAGTAAAGTATCATGCTCAAAGATACAACAAAGTGCTGTGACTCGAACCCGCTACCGCTCGGTCATGAGCCCGGCGTCCTACCACTTGACTATCGTGCCCCCTTACCTAAGGGAAAAACAAGAGCATGCTACATTTGATTAACTTTCAGCATGGCTTGACTATATGTCTGGGATTAACACGACACGACTCTATACTAAAACAATGCATCGATCGTAGAATCGGGTATTACTCACTAAAAACCTAAGCGTTGCTATGTGATTTAAAATTTGATAAGATTTGACACAAAATCAAAGATCAGTAACTTTTCTTCTGAATTTTTAATTTCTGAATAACACAAACAAAACCATTACACACATAACTCACAGACAACTGATCACGTCATCACGTCAATTTCAATATCAATATGAAAGTACTTTCCTCACAAATCGATACCGAATTGGCTTATAATAAATCAAAGTCTATAAGGATATTTAGAACACGTTGGTTTGGATGGGCGTGGCATGGTACAGTTATACATTAGATTGATGACTGCAGCATCTTTCTCGCTGATTCTGCGGGCACGGCCGATTCGGTTTAGGTACTGCTTTCTGTGGGTGTCAGGACGTGGAACTATGGTAAAATCACCATTTTTACTGAATGCCTGAAAGTAAAAATAGTAATATATAGACACATATAGAGGTCGGGATCAGGACCGCGGGAAGATAGAAAAACATGTGAAAACTGGCATGATTGAGATGACACGAAAACAGGAAATAAAATCATTCATATAAAAATGCATTGTTGATCCGCAATATGGTGCATTTCCACGATTGCATGCCACAAGCCATTTCACCGATACAACAGGAAACATAATAGCGACTATGAATTATGTAATAAGATGCTGAAATAATGCCTATTGTTTCTCGAAGTAGAAATAACTAAAACGTTCTTTGGGGTCTGTAAAGTGATGCTTTCCTTAAAAAACACTAATGCTACATTTGTTTTTAAATGTGATTTCTTCTTTTTAAATTCCGCACAAAACACTAAACAGCATATTCAGATGAGCCCATGTAATAGTTTGTATTACTACCTGTCTCTCTCTATTTAAGTGTATATGAAATATTTTTGACTGTTTTAATAAAAAAAAAAATCCCTGGAAAAGACTGAAAACCCGTAAAATAATGTCTAGAGTTGACTGTTGCACCCTTACTGTTGCATGCGCGACAATCATGCGCAGACAATTTCCCTGTCGGCGGCACCACTCAAGCGTCTTTTTTGATACAGATTTGTTTGTTGTCGTCTGGTGAAAATGGCGAATAACGGCAGATTAGAGAATGTTTCCATACAGTCATTTATCCTACCTCGCATACTTAATTAGAGAGTCGGGTAATAAATCATTTGTTTCATTGGTACTGGGGGAACAGTCAAATCCTTGACCCCCGGTAGCAGGGAACACCTAGGGAACTGTTGCCCTCGGCCTTTAATCCCTGCTACCATGCACGGGTCAATGATTTGACTGTTCCCCCAGTATCAATGAAACAATTGCATACTAGATACAGGGATATTATATATTCGTTTTGCATTTATATTAATCCATAAGGAAACATTTCTATAAAGTAACTGGAAATCTACAATGTGAAATGCGAACATCGCTATGGGTCCCCGATTACATCACCTTTTACCGAGACCTATCTTCCAAAAATATCAACTTACCCTACTGCCATAATGCATGATGCTGAGATAATCGTAGCCCACACCTCTGGTATTGATAGCTCTGGAGCTTATACGTCTAAAGTTGATGAGACTGGTGTTCGCTGCATTTTGCGGGAGAATTTCTACATACTTGTCGCGATCCGGCCGAGAATGTTCATGGAACAGTCCGATAACGTGTAGTATTTCATGTGAGAACACGGTGGACTGAAAGTACACGACAACCAAAACATAATGTATCACTATTTCTGATTAGTTGTTTTAGTCACTTTAAAAAATTAAGATATGTTTGTATTTAATAATATAGTCACACTTTTGATTTTAAGTTTATATTTCCAATTTCTTCTTTTATTGACAATTGTTCCATTACTCATAAAGCTGTTGTGGGTTTTAAATAATCCTGTCAGCGGTTTTAACATTACACATGCTATTTTTTACAGAAAAAAAATCAAACAAATGTCTAGTGAAGGTAATATGATATTCAAACATCGGTTCCTCAACGAGTGACGACTGATCTGAAAGGCTTGTCCAGATCAGGGTTGGTTACCCCTAGCCAACATTATAGTCCTTCACAACATCATATAACTAGCCGATTTACTTTAGGATAGTCGTCATTAACGCGGAAGAAGGTTTTAAAGATAGATGGTAGATGTCAGATAGCCTCGTAGTTTCAGAGTTACTGTCACTCACGTTCTGTGAAACCCTGGGGTATGTCATGACACAAATGAAGGCTCAGTGTGTTATCTACCCCCTGGATGACTCCACCATTACTATTCTGATCCTTTGATGTACATCAAAAGAATTAGCGCGGTAGCGTAACGGTTACATTGACTAGCTACGACATGTTTCAGAGAACAACCTAACCCCTGCAAATGTATAACGGATGATGCCCATCGCGCACTTCCATTACCGGCACTTCTTATCAGGAGAGCTGATTATCCTTCATGGATTGTAAAACATACAAAACTTTAGTCGAATACCTCCGCTACACATCATACTTACCGTCCGGCACCGCTTTCCGAGGATCATGTCCTGAGATAGTGTTGAATGTTGTTCCCGGACAGACATCCCGACATACGATCTACACCTACACAAACAAGGGATCTCATTTTAGATTGAAACATTTAAAGTAGATATATCTTACCAATTTACATCGCGTCCAAATACTTCAATTTTTACATATATTTATTCTATCATTATTAGGTGTGTTTTTTTTTTATTAGAAACGGATCTTACAGAGTAGCTCTGATTCAACTCCTGGCCTTGTTGTAAGGGTATCTCTGTGGGAATTAAAGTACATGGCGTAGATTGTATAGTTCTGGTAGTAAGATATATGACGATTTTATCCTTGTAATGAGGACATTACAGTATATGACGTATTATTATACCTCTACTTAGTTTACACTCTACAAAAGTAACCACATAAACAAGCTATTTCCCCTCTAAATGCATGACAGGGAAATAGTTCGTCTGGAGGGGTGCGATAGTTTTGAAACTATTTCACTAGGAAAATGCGGGAAATTGAGTGACGTCGTAGGCGGGGGCTGACCGAATATTGACCAATCAGCGCAATCGAATGACGTCGGCAATTTCCGGCCAGCGAAGCCAGTACTTTCTGGACCGACCTTCACCTCGCATTGTTGTTGACAGATGACAACAGAAATGGCGACCCCCAGGTTTTCAGTGTTGGACGAGAGCGAGTTGTCGGACATATTGGAGGCAGAGGACAGTTGGTTAATTTTCAAGCAAAAACTGTGATTTATTGTACATGTGATATCCTTTATTTCATGTTATTGCGAAAACTGTTTTTTTCTGATGTTGATTCTCAAGAAAATTGTAGTTTTGTTAATAAAGTGTCCCAACTGTTGAAAATCTGTTGTCTAATAATATTTAGAATATTGTAAGGGAGTGTTTGTATCGGTATAATAAAACAGTTGAAGTATAGGTATTTCGGGATATAACAAAATTATGATCCCACTCGTCCAGGACTATTTCCCTCGACTTCGCCTCGGGAAATAGTCCTGGCCTCGGGGGATCATAAACTTGCTATATCCCTCATACCCATACTTTAACTGTTTACTGTATCCCTGTAATGAGGACATTACAGTATATGACGTACTGGATCTCCGTAATGAGGACATTACAGTATGTGACATACTTTATCCCTGTAATGAGGACATTTCAGTATATGACGTACTGTATCCCTGTAATGAGGACATTACAGTATGTGACATACTTTATCCCTGTTATAAGGACATTACAGTATATGACGTACTTTATCCCTGTTATGAGGATATTCTAGTATATGACGTACTGTATCCCTGTAATGATGACATTTCAGTATATGACGTACTTTATCCATGTAATGAGGACATTACAGTATATGACGTACTTTATCTCTGTAATGAGGACATTACAGTATATGACGTCCTTTATCTCTGTAATGAGGACATTACAGTATATGACGTAATTTATCTCTGTAATGAGGACATTCAAATATATGACGTATTGTATCTCTGTAATGAGGACATTACAGTATGTGACGTACTGTATCTCTGTTATGAGGACATTACAGTATATTACGTACTGTATCCCTGTAATGAGGACATTACAGTATGTGACGTACTGTATCTCTGTTATGAGGACATTACAGTATATGACGTACTGTATCCCTGTAATGATGACATTACAGTATATGACGTACTTTATCCCTGTTATGTGGATATTCTAGCATATGACCTACTGTATCCCTGTAATGATGACATTTCAGTATATGACGTACTTTATCCAGGTAATGAGGACATTACAGTATATGACGTACTTTATCCCTGTTATGAGGATATTCTAGTATATGACGTACTGTATCCCTGTAATGATGACATTACAGTATATGACGTACTTTATCCCTGTTATGAGGATATTCTAGTATATGACGTACTGTATCCCTGTAATGATGACATTTCAGTATATGACGTACTTTATCCAGGTAATGAGGACATTACAGTATATGACGTAATTTATCTCTGTAATGAGGACATTCAAATATATGACGTACTGTATCTCTGAAATGAGGACATTACAGTATATGACGTACTGTATCCCTGTAATGATGACATTACAGTATATGACGTACTTTATCCCTGTTATGAGGATATTCTAGTATATGACGTACTGTATCCCTGTAATGATGACATTTCAGTATATGACGTACTTTATCCATGTAATGAGGACATTACAGTATATGACGTTCTTTATCTCTGTAATGAGGACATTACAGTATGTGACGTACTGTATCTCTGTTATGAGGACATTACAGTATATGACGCACTGTATCCCTGTAATGAGGACATTACAGTATGTGACATACTTTATCCCTGTTATAAGGACATTACAGTATATGACGTACTTTATCCCTGTTATGAGGATATTCTAGTATATGACGTACTGTATCCCTGTAATGATGACATTTCAGTATATGACGTACTTTATCCAGGTAATGAGGACATTACAGTATATGACGTACTGTATCCCTCTAATGATGACATTTCAGGATATGACGTACTTTATCCCTGTAATGAGGACATTACAGTATATGACGTAATTTATCTCTGTAATGAGGACATTCAAATATATGACGTACTGTATCTCTGTAATGAGGACATTACAGTATATGACGTACTGTATCTCTGTTATGAGGACATTACAGTATATGACGTACTGTATCCCTGTAATGAGGACATTACAGTATGTGACGTAATTTATCTCTGTAATGAGGACATTCAAATATATGACGTATTGTATCTCTGTAATGAGGACATTACAGTATGTGACGTACTGTATCTCTGTTATGAGGACATTACAGTATATGACGTACTGTATCCCTGTAATGAGGACATTACAGTGTATGACGGCACTAGATGGTAATAGTTTTCCTGACATATTTTATCCCAGTTGTTTTATTCTAGTCATATCCTAATATTATGGTGCCATGAATGCCAGTTAACTTGTTCGCCCTTTACTAAGTATCAGATAATACGGCATACATAACATATATAACATATATAACATGTTTTAGCATGAAAAGCACAATGCCCTTTAAGGAAGGTATATATATCGATCTACGCTTACCCTCTTCCTTCTAATACGCGTACATGTGGGACCTTGCGTCTTGCAGCCGATCTACTTATCCTTCTGAAACAGATGCAAGTTTTTTCCGAGATCTGATTTAACCCTATCGCCATCCGTCGTTTTTCCCGGCTTCCTAGAAAATATTATACATATGATAATGCACGTGATTTTCGTTCTGTTTTATTCAGTTTTATTACAGTACATACTTACTAATAAATATGAGGGTTTTGTATATGCGATACGACACAATTGCTCTAACCCATATCAGCCCTCGCCGTATAACACCCCAAAAGCTGTATCAGCCCGCAAAAATCTGTATCACACCCCTTTTGGACATTTTTCGTTTTTCAATATTTCAAAAGAAAAATAGATCATAAGATAGTAGCTTTTAATAGTAAGTATGTAATAAACAGAATAAAACACGCCTTTTTTCCATATCACACCCAGTATCAACCCTCGACCAATATCGAGTTGAAACTGGGTGTGATATGGAAAAAGGCGTGTATTATTCTCTTTTTATCATATGTTTACTCAGAATATGAGTTTTTTTTGGCATATTTGATAACTTCTGACCACTCCTGATACCACTCCCGGTCACGTCACCCGTGTGATAAGTTTCATGCGATAACAATTCTCGTAATGCACCCCCTGTTCAGAACACCTCTACTTCTGTATTGGATATGGGAAGCGCCCGAAGCGTTCCGAGTAAAATCCGGATTTGCGCTGTCAGTTGTGTTTTTGCTTAGACAGTGTGTTGAGACGACGTCAACAAACAAAATGTCAACAAACCAGGGAGAGGAAATACTTAATTCTCTAGCGTCTAGAATACTTGAATTGGATGACCTCATTGATAAGAAAAATGTGGAGAAGAGTGCAAGGTTAGGTTGTGACGAGGACACGGAGAACTTCGTCAAAAGTATGAAAAACACAAACGGAGTCGGACGTCCGACTGATCAGATCTTTTCTTGTCTCTGTTGAAGAGTTACGAAACCTGGAAGCAATCTCCCCAGTGGTTTTGGGTAATTAATTGGCCCGATTCTTTCTGAATGTGCGCAAGGCAGACGGCAGCGGGTAATAATCTGTTTCAGTTGACATTGTTGATTAAATTATTTAATTGTTTTTCCTGTTGACTTTATTTTGTTACTTGAACATATGATAAAAGGTTTATAATATGACCATTTCGATATCATATTTCTTATCAGCCCTCGGTCCCGATATCAGCCCTCAGGGTCTTTGACACCTCGGGCTGATATCGGGACCGAGGGCTGATAAGGGATATGATATCAAAATGGTCATATAATAACCTCTAAATCAATGCAAGTGCTTTTCGTTCTGTTTAATTCAGTTTTATATAAGCTATATCAACGGTAAACAATAGTGCCCAACACAAACTTGTAAGAGGAATGACCGTTACACTTACTGAAGCCTCTCCCTGATATCCTTAAGGGGATCACACCGTCTGGCCAGTAGCGTGTCTCGGTACGTCTGGCAGCTCGTTCCCGGCGGATGTGACCATTGTGGTGATGCAAGTGCACTTCCGGCCAGTGGAAGTGAAAATGTTTCTGTATCGCTTCATCCAGCGCTTGTGCCACCCGAACTAAACTCATGGAATGTACTATCGCTTCAGCCGCCCTATTAAGTCGTTAGAATGTAAACATATAACACACAGACATCAGAAACTCACACAAACAGACAGTTATCTAATTATGAAGCAATAACCAACGTGGTCGGGCATGCGACCATTTATCTTTTCATGTCCGATCGGGGAATCGAACCCCAGGCGCCTGGGTTAAAAGCGATTGCGTCATCCACCTACAAACAATCACTTATGGAGGATACCGTGATATCACGGTAATAACAGGAAATCACAAGAAGTATTTTGAGTTTGCTTAATTTATATGACATACTATTAACTATCTCTCTATTTTCTATTTCTTTAACGCACCCTATATATTTGTGTAAAGGTAAATAAATTTATATTTTGAAATGAATGAGAAAAAATGATTTTTTTCACACCTGAATGTATCCGTTTTCAACAATTTACATTCTTATTCTTAAATATTAATGGATGAACAGCATTAACATGAACAATTAAAAAATATCGTAGTTACGCGTCCTGCTGCATTTCGGTAAACTGAGGTACTCTCATCAGCATATCTCCCTCATAAGCAATCGCGCCCTGGTCCGGAAGGAAAGTGGCAGAAGCAAACGTCCCCGGCCCTGAAAAAACAATTAAGGTATAAAATATCTAAACAACGTCATCATATCAAAGACAGAAATACAACATTGTCATCACACAAAGACAACACTGTCAACACACAAAGACGACACTGTCATCACACAAAGACAATATTGTCAACACACAAAGACAACATTGTCACCACACAAAGACATCATTGTCAACACACAAACACAACATTGTCAACACACAAAGACATCATTGTCAACACACAAAGACATCATTGTCATCACACAAAGACAACATTGTCATCACACAAAGACAACATTGTCATCACACAAATACAACACTGTCAACACACAAAGACAACATTGTCAACACACAAAGACAACATTGTCAACACACAAAGACAACATTATTGTCAACACACAAAGACAACATTGTCAACACACAAAGACATCATTGTCAACACACAAAGACAACATTGTCAACACACAAAGACATTATTGTCAACACACAAAGACAACATTGTCGACACACAAAGACAACACTGTCAACACACAAAGACAACATTGTCGACACACAAAGACAACACTGTCAACACACAAAGACAACACTGTCAACACACAAAGACAACATTGTCACCACACAAAGACAACATTGTCAACACACAAAGACATTATTGTCAACACACAAAGACAACATTGTCAACACACAAAGACAACATTGGCAACACACAGACATCATTGTCAACACACAAAGACAGCATTGTCACCACACAAAGACATCATTGTCAACACACAGACATCATTGTCACCACACAACGACAACACTGTCAACACACAAAGACAGCATTGTCACCACACAACGACAACATTCAACTGTTACATTGTACAACACAATTATACTACAACAAAATAGAATGCACCGTCATTAGACAGAATAATATGCAAACGATATCAACACACAGAGATTACAGATACATCACCGTCTACACACAAAACTCTTTTTGTTGACACGTTTATATTAAGGCTACAAATATGTACCAACCTGAGGCATCTTCTATCACTTCGTCTATCGACTGGTGAGACTGTCTCCCTGCTCGCCTTCTATCTAGGATCTAAAGTTGACAGAGAAACCCAATATAGAAACCATGAAATCACAAGGTCAACATAAAATTGCTACATACATATATATATGATATATAATATACATAAAACAATACTTGTCATTGTTATGTTATTCCGTTAAACACCATTAAAACCATGATATAATTATCACTTTGTGTTTAACTTAGCTAGAATACACCGTTATAAGACCCACAACAATACTTAGATAATCAATACAATAAGTTATGAAGTAAGTACATGTAGCAAAGATGTGGAAAAAGCTTACATATTTACTAACGTCGCTTTATTTGCACATGAACAGAAAATCTGCGGCGTCGAAAACAGTGAACAGAAAATACCGTACAAATTCATAAAAAAACAACATCCAAGGCATCAAAAAAATTACTATTCAAACTCAACATCGATGCATTTAGGACAAAATATGAGCAAATGAAAGATGTACATGGAAACCCTTTAACAAGTACACGAAAGAATGAGACAATGTTTTCTGAAACGGTAAGCATGTCTGCTTCATCGACAAAACCCGCCAAATAATATAAGTCAGACCATGTAATGTCACGTGATCACGGCTATATCGAGGAAAATAATCGTTATATGTGAAGAGTTATATTAACTTAAGTAGCCATATTAATTCTAATCAGATTGTTAATATAAGTTTTCTCTGGGTTAGAAGGGGTCTATAAAACAAAAGGGGTCTATGAGCCATCTGCTCAGTGGTTTGTCCTGTGGTGTTGTTGTCACTACCAGAGATAACGAATTTGTCACCATGACAATGTTTTATTACCTGGTTTTTCTGCAAAGTTATAATAAGTCGCTTTGTGAGTTTGAGTTATACGTGACAGCTACCAAAAAAGCCCCTACCGGACACCTTTTCGGCAATATTTCGGACAGTACACAACCATCTTTGTAATTAGCACCATAGCGGCTCCGTAATTGCCTGTTTCGTTGAATTTGCTGTCAATTAAGTAGGCTATTTCATCCTGTGAATGTGTATCGGACGCCATCTTTGTTGTTATGAAGATATTCTAGTTTTAGTTATATCCCTTTGCACGTGCTTTTATAGACAGCGGCAAGATATCCAATCAGAAAAGAGTGTTACAAATTAGAAGGGTGACAAATCCTGCTATTTCACTGGTAAAAAAAAGCAAAAATAGTAAACTTGTCTATACCGTTACATCTGCTTCTCTATAGCGAACGTATGTATGGAGGAAACCTGTCCATAGCGAAACTCTTACATCAACACTATTTGATGTCTATCGTGACACCTACCTCTTGGAACAGTTCTATAAGCGTTGAAGTAGTCTGCAACAAGTCTCTGTGTTGTATAGTCGTGACAGTATAACAGTCTGTACGAATCAGGAACATATCCGCACACAATAATATGCAGAGTAATACGCAAACATTTGTCATCTTATTATGTTTAACACCTGTATAATTACTTTCTCCTTCAGGTTGATACTAAATATAAATCACTTATTGAATGTCATCTTCAAGGAAGGACTACACGTTTGGTGATGTTCATACTACATTATTTGTTGAAGTCAAACAAGGATATTACTGATAGATATGTTAATTACTTACCGTACCTGTTTTACATAAATGCCATCCACGTCTCACACGTTGATTAGTTCCAGGCGCGAGGTTAGAATACAATATTACATTGATGTATATATATATATTAGTGTAATGTTATATCACGCTTTTACTAAATACTTATATCCTTTAGACGAGGTCGAACTTAGGAATTTCCTACGTGTTAGCAAACAACCAGGAACCAATTTAATTGCTGCATTAATCAGCACGCACGTATAAAGGAATTCCCCATGTGTTACGAGACGATACAGAGAATCGGAGAGTTGACGAACTATGCTAATTAGCTCGCAGAAAGTTATCTTGCATACATAATATCCTTACTGGAGCAATGAATCTAAATTAAAGCTTAAGGTGGCTCCACACTTTCGCAATTAACCAGCAAAATTCGTTGAAACTTTCATATAATGGTTATGCAACTATGTAGAGTTGATTTTATGAAAATCTAAACATTCCGATAATTTGGGGACTTTTTTCGAAAAAATACCAAAAAAATAGAATTTTCATCAATTTTAATACTTTCCGGGGTTTTTTTGTGTATGGCATTGTTCGGAACAATAACAACAATAATAAAATGAAAAGAAGCATTTCTAATTAACCCTACAAATATTTTATTCATCGCAAAATATGTAACACATGTTACACAAAGTGTTTTTTATTGAATTTGTACGGATAAAAGTGATTATCTACAAGCTAAAAGCAAACAGGACACAAAGATCTATACATATAGAATGGGAAATTGAACAAAATATACACAATGGCTTTATAATTAATTTATTTTACATTCTACAATCAATTCGATCCGGGTGAGAGTTATTTTCCTTGAAAAAAATCGGAACTTTTTGCAGAGGGGTGACATTTACACAATGACTGTGCTCTGTTTACATATAACAAAAATGATGGAAATAAATCAAAAATATGATATCAAAATTATCAATTTATTGTTCTTTAATGGAACCAAATTACCCTCAGTCATGTACACTTTGGACATCATTCCACAGTCCGCTAACTCGCGGTATATTTATAATTACATGTCAGGTACACATGTGACCAGAGGCTATTGCATGGTATGTCGTTCTCACGTGCACTCACACATGCATTTCATAGGTATCTTGATATTTTACAAAACATTATTTTCTCAGAGTAAGTAGACTACATTTGTAAACACGATTTAATCGACAATCGTAACGACCTCGAGCTTATGAACTCGTGTAAGCACGTGCACGTGATATGCACATGTGAGATTGGTACGTCCGCATTCCATGCGTTTCCTACATAACCTTCTTGAGGTCGTTTGGTCTCATGTCACTGTCTTCCCGTGAGTCTGTTTTTGTCTATGAATTGGAAAGCTTTATTCCTGAAGTACGTACGTGTGATTATACTTTTCCCGGTAAAATATCGATATCGGGTGTTCACATATCATCGGCACGCACGTGTACTATTGTTTACCAGGGGCCTGTTCGTTTATGCGGAGCAACCGGGTTGACCGTTTATAAATGTAACAATTTCGGGTATAAATCTTGGCGGACCTGCAAATGTGTATGCGGCTTTGCAAGGCTTTCTCAAGGCTCGCCTGAAAGCAGCATCAGATTACTAGGTTCGACTTATTTAATAAACGAACAACAGTGGTCCGGTCGGTTTGACCGTTTAAACGAAAACGGCCCAGGGGTTACTATAATTTGCGCTACGATATTGAATGCCCGATACGCAATACGGAAATGACGACACGGTGTACATGCACATTTCGATCAAGATAATTGAGTCCGAGCTGTACTTTTTCCGGAAGTACGTCACGAAAATGGACGCTGATGACGATGTGTGGAGCCACCTTAAGACATTTTAAACATAATATAAATGGCCACGTGATTTCTTCAAGTAAACAAATGTCAATTGTCTCGAAGTTCAACGTAATGATAGCGGCACAACGTGATACTTTTGATCAAAAAGGCCATCTGACCTTAATACGATCAAAGGTCAGTGTCACCTAAACTTCTGAAGTGGAAGGATGGGTTATCAGTCTTTAAGTCTCCTCACAAAATTAGGGTTTCACTTGATTTCCTTCCCTTGTTATAACATTGTCCATCAAACAGTTTGGATGGCTTATGCTCTTAAATCTTTCTTATCTTATTATTATCGTTGAGTCGACGAAGTTGGGGAACGTTCCGTTATTTTCTCGTTTCTGTTATACCTCTAATGATAACTCTTCAGGCACTTTTATCCAATTTTTCCGGTAGCTAACAATCGAAAAGTATTGTTGGGTATGTAAAGATGTTTTTTCTGTTTGCCATCGCTCATTAAAGATGGCCGTCGCAGCTTCTGATTAGTCGAAATCAAGGTATGGTTGACTATCGATCAAGTGGTTATATGGCGTATTATGACACTACCAACTTCTGTTTTCATCACTTAATCGTTTGGGGGTAGTTTGGAACATCTACTGGGTACGCAACCATATCAGAACGACATTCACAACAGAGTAAAAACAAGAAATAACAAAATAAACCACAGAGTCAGCATGTAGACGCTAGGTGTAGATCTAATGGACTACAAACGTAACACTACAATCATGCGTGTATGCACATATGTGTGTATCGCTAGCCACATGTTGAATAGGGACAGCAGAAAGGTGAGAAACAAATTGACTGACATGTTACAACACGAATAGGTCTGTCAGTGGCAGGTTAATGTGTCATAAACGTGACACTATTTAGTAGCGTAAACTAATCCCGGGCAAAGGAAAACATTAACACAATGGTGCGTCCATATAGTAAAAGTCGAGCAATGTCTGGTTTGGAAAAACGAGGTTTCCTTGTGGCCCCTGCTTTGATTTCAGCATTATTTTTGTGAGGTAAGGACCTAAACCTTATCATAACAAAAACACCCATCAACATTCAAATGAGTACTTGGTTAGCTTTTCGTGGAAGCATAAAACAGAAACTCTCACAAATCCGGAGTTTTTCCCAAAAAGACGAATATTTTAAAACTAACAATGCACTGAAGGATAATTTATTATGCAACCGAAACTACGGAGCATATACTACAGTACACATATAAAAATCCCTTGCTTTGGTTAGTTATCAGATAGTTATCAGATATGTACAAATCAACAGCCAGAAGCTATCTCAAGCAATGGTATTGTCCAGACAACTTTTTTTTTATCTTAGAATAAAAGTATGTTATACCAAAAATATTTTGATTATAGATGGACTAGGTCCTGAACTTTCAGTAACAAAAATTTTAATCCAAAATATGTGATGAAACATATTCAATATATAATTTCTTAGTTTCGTAAGCCAACAGACAACCTTCAATTACAAAATAAATGTTAGATGTTTCTTAAACCTTAACTGGATCTAAGACGTCCTATTAATACCATGTCATTATATATACAATCAACGGCGTGCATGGTAATTGTATTATGTTAATTATAAATGTCCTTTATCCAGGCCTCATCGTTTCCGGTATGTATTATATCCACTTTCTTTCTAAGTAGATAACCCCCCTTCCTTTGTCCGTTATAGTTGATGTTACAGCGATACTCGTACCCAGTAGATGTTCCAGCGATACTCGTACCCAGAAGTAGATGTTACAGTGATACTCGTACCCAGTAGATGTTACAGCGATACTCGTACCCAGTAGATATTCCAGCGATACTCGTACTCAGTAGATGTTCCAGCGATACTCGTACTCAGTAGATGTTCCAGCGATACTCGTACCCAGTAGTAGATGTTACAGCGATACTCGTGCCCAGTAGATATTCCAGCGATACTCGTACCCAGTAGATGTTACAGCGATACTCGTACCCAGTAGATGTTACCGCGATACTCGTACCAAGTAGATGTTCCAGAGATAATCGTACCCAATAGATATTACAGCGATACTCGTACCCAGGAGATGTTCCAGCGATACTCGTACCCAGAAGTAGATGTTACAGTGATACTCGTACCAAGTAGATGTTACAGCGATACTCGTACCTAGTAGATGTTACAGCGATACTCGTACCACGTAGATGTTCCAGCTATACTCGTACCAAGTAGATGTTACAGCGATACTCTTACCCAGTAGATGTTCCAGCGATAGTCGTGCCCAGTAGATGTTACAGCGATCCTCGTGCCCAGTAGATATTCCAGCGATACTCGAACCCAGTAGATGTTACAGGGATACTCGTACGCAGTAGATGTTCCAGCGATACTCGTACCCAGGAGATGTTCCAGCGATAGTCGTACCCAGTAGATGTTACAGCGATATTCGTACCCAGTAGATGGTACAGCGATACTCGTACCAAGTAGATGTTTCAGCGATACTCGTACCCAATAGATATTACAGCGATACTCGTACCCAGTAGATATTACAGCGATACACGTACCAAGTAGATGTTGCAGCGATACTCGTACCCAGTAGATATTACAGCGATACACGTACCAAGTAGATGTTGCAGCGATACTCGTACCCAGTAGATATTACCGCGATACTCGTACCAAGTAGATGTTCCAGCGATACTCGTACCCAGAAGTAGATGTTACAGTGATACTCGTACCCAGAAGATGTTACAGCGATACTCGTACCCAGTAGACGTTACAGGGATACTCGTACTCAGTAGATGTTCCAGCGATACACGTACCAAGTAGATGTTGCAGCGATACTCGTACCCAGTAGATATTACAGCGATACTCGTACCCAGGAGATGTTCCAGCGATACTCGTACCCAGGAGATGTTCCAGCGATAGTCGTACCCAGAAGATGTTACAGCGATCCTCGTACCCAGTAGATGTTACAGCAATACTCGTACCCAGTCGATGTTCCAGCCATACTCGTACCCAGTAGATGTTCCAGCGACCCTCGTACCCAGTAGATGTTACAGCGATTCTCGTTCCCAGTAGATGTTCCAGCGATACTCGTACACAGTAGATGTTACAGCGATACTCGTACCTAGTAGATGTTCCAGCGTTTCTCGTAC